TCTCTCTCTCTCTCTCTCTCTCTCTGTTTGTCTGCCTGCCTGCCTGCCTGCCTGTCTGTCTGTCTGTCTCAATTATCTCCAGCGCTGGATTCTGGAATAAAACCATTTATTCGCCTCGTAAGATTGTTGATCTTCTTCCCCCATTCCGGATCCGCCTGATTCCTGATCTGGCACCACCTGTTATAATAATCTGTTTATAGATCCAGGACAAGTTAGAACAGCTAGTCTTATGTCAACAAATGGCGTGGTTGTGTACTTAGCTAGGCAAGACTCTCTGGGGGAAAGGGAAGGGGAAGAAGCAGTTTTGTTAACCCTGTCCAGGTACAGCAAGGGGTCTTCAAACTTGGCAAGTTTAAGACTTGTGGATTTCAACTCCCAGAATTCCTGAGCTAACATGACTGGAGGAGGAATTCTGGGAGTTGAAGTCCACAAGTCTTAAAGCTGTCAAGTTTGAAGATCCCCTGACCTGGTATAGGATAAAATCTCCCCTTAGCTTCCAGTGATTTCCTGGGCATTTTCCTGTGGTTTTCCATGGTTTTCTTCAGAGACGATATGTGGTTTCCTCAGCTTCTGAGAAAGCCAGGGTGATCTTAGTTCAAGGCTCTCCAAATGTAGCAACTTTTAAGATTTGTGGACTTCAATTCTGGGAGTCGAAGTCCCCAAGTCTTTCAATGCTTTAAAATCAGGCCAAGGGCAAATCCACTTCTGAAAATGTTGTCTGTAGTCATGGCAACTGGCCTTCTTTTCTTTCCTTTCCTTTTTGTTTGGAAGCAGTTTGGCTTTTCCAAGTAAGCTGCTTCAGTGGAAAGAAAACGGGACGCTCTTTTGAGGACCATAATATTTACATTTGGGGCAGGGAAGGTTTGAGAGAGGAATGAAGGAATCCATTTACACCCAAAGTGGAAAGCAATAGTGGGAGAGGCTCCAGACATGAGCTGCTTCCCCATTTTTTTATGTTGCCCTTGTGACAGTCCCTAAGAAGATTTAAGACCACAGGTTCACCAGATCTTCTTTTACAGTTAATAAGGGGAAGGAAATAGGATTTCAAACTTCCCCAACTGTTCTCTGCCTTTCTGCCTACTCATCTAAGGAGCCTAGACACCCAGGAGGACATTTATGGAAGCTGATTCATCCCAAAACACATACAGGATTTGGAGTCGCACAACCACCCAGCTTAGATGGAAGAAGTTAACTTGTGAAAGGATTAGAGCACGTACAGAGTGTAACCCAACTCAGCTCCGGATTCCCTGCTGAGCTGGGCTCCATATAATGCGCAGCTTGCAAAGATAAAGCCACAAGGCTCAATAGCAGGAACGGTGAGAGGGATCTTGGAGTCTTAGTGGACAACCAGCTAAATAGGAGCCAGCAGTGTGCAGCAGCAGCCAAAAAAGCTAATGCAATCCTAAATTGTATTAACAGAGGGATACAATCTAGATCAAGGGAGGTACTAATGCCACTCTTAAATCCTTAGTAAGACCACACCTAGAGTATTGCATCCAGGATTGATCACTACATTATAAAAAAGATGTTGAGACTCTAGAACAAGTGCAGAGAAGAGCAACCAGGATGATTAGGGGACTGGAGACTAAAACATATGGAGAACGGTTGCAGGAACTGGGCATGGCTAGTCTAGGGAAGAGAAGGACCAGGGGAGACATGATAGCAGTCTTCCAATATTTGAGGGGCTGCCATGGAGGGGGTCAAGCAGGGGTGGGATTCTACCAGTTTGCACCTATTCGCTAGAACCAGTTATTAACATTCTAAGCAGTTCAGAGAACAGGTTGTTAGAAGAAATTACTGGCCTAATCCTGTAAGGAAGGCAGGAAGGAAACATTCTGGTTTTGCTTACAGAAACTGCCTCTCCGTTAACCCTTATTATGTTCTTGGCAGGACTAGACTTCCTGTCTCAGGAACGTCTCTGGAGGTTTTCCCCCCTCCTTTGCTGATACTTTGCTTGTGTGGAGTGAACATTCAGAGTTACAATGGCACTGAAAAAAGTGGCTTATGACTATTTTTCACACTTACGACTGTTGCAGCATCCCCACAGTCATGAGAGGCCAGGCAAGGAGATGCGTGCCTCGATGTGAGTGATATTGAGTTGGCCATTCCCACCAAGTAAGCCACGCCCAGAGAACCAGTTGTTAAAAAATTTGAATCCCACTCCTGGGATCAAGCTATTTTCTAAAGCACCTGTAGGCCAGACAAGGAATAAGGGATGGAAACTGAACAAGGAGAGACTCAACCTGGAAATAAGGAGAAACTTTCTGACAATGAGAACAATCAACCAATGGAACAGAAGTTGCCTTCAGAAGTTGTGGGAGCCGCCATCACTTGAGACCTTCAATAAGAGATTGGACTGCCATTTGTCAGAAATGGTGTAGGGTCTCCCGCTTGGGCGGGGGGGTGGGGTGGACTAAATGACCTACAAGATCCCTTCCAACACTGATTATCTGTTATCTATTATTTAACTGCCCAAGTAGCCTAGCTAAGTAACTCACTGCGAAATGCAAAATGTGAATTCTGCCTCTTTTATCTAATTTGTTTTTTTTTTAATCTAATTTGTATCTGTTTTATCTAAAGTGAAGATAGCAAAGCTCGGGGCTAGATGCCAGTAAATATAATCCTTTCCTTCTGTAAGCCTCAGTGTTATCAGCGCTGAGAAAATCATGATTATAGAGATTATAGAGATAGAGATTATGTTTCTAACACAATGATGTTCTATGCAAGCTGTGCGTAAAATTGTAAGAAGAAGGAAAAAGGGTGGGTTTTTTTTTTGCATGTGTGCCTGTTTTTCTCTCTATCTGACTGTTTGCGGTGTGAGAGATAAGGTTGCCTAGTTTTACTTTGACCAAAAATAAAACTGGTTATCATCAGTTGCCTCATGCTCAGAGTTTCACTGGATTTATCTCACGAAAACTTAACACTTGGATAAGCAGCAAACCTTTCGAGCCAAAGGGAAAATAAAAGAAGGCCAGTTGCACTGACTCAACTTCCCAAAAAACTCTACCTGGATAACTGAGAATAACCTGTTCTAACCAGTAAAGTCAATGGGGAAGCCAGTTTTATTTAAACGCTGCATTATTAACAACTGAAAGGATCCACTTAGTCCAGTTGGTGGGATTCAAAAACGTTTACTACCGGTTTGGTGGGCGTGGCTTGGTGGGCGTGCTTTGCGTGCATGTGTGTCCCAAACACTCACTTTGCACAGGCGCAGAGGCGTTCAGCAGCTGCCGCGTGGCACTCTTCTGTGCCACGCAAAGCAGCTGCGCTTCAAAAGCAGAAGATTAAGGTGAGTATGAAAGTTTCGGTCTCTGCTGCTGGTCAGAACAGGGCTGAACCGGTAGAATACCGTCCCTGACTTAGCCACGGTGGCAAGAAAGGTCGTGAAATGGAGCTGAGCTCACTTCCTAAATGTCTCGTTCAGCAACCAAAATCTTGGGGTCAATTGTGGCTATAAGCCGAGGACTACCTGTGATAGCTTTGGTCATTTGAGCCTTGTGGTTTGTGACGGAGATCCAAAGGTTTGGTGGCATCTTAAATATCAAATAATATTATTGCATAAGGTTTTTTTGTGTGTGTGTGGCTGATATTTCCGTTCACTAGAAGAGCCCTAGACCACAAAGGGATGATTTTTGGGTTGATGGTAAAAAAAAAAAAAAAGCAATAGCACTTAGACTTAAATACTGCTTACAGCGCTTCTAAGTCAGGGGGTGTCAAACTCACGTCGTCATGTTGTCAGGTGATGTAGCGCAACCATTTTTCCACTTTACTAAGCCATGTGTGTGTGTGTGTGTGTGTGTGACTGTGAGCATCTGGCCCGTGGGCTGAGAGTTTGACATCCCTGCTCTAAGCAGGTTTACAGAGTCCTTGCCTCTTGTCCCCACCAATCTGGGTCCTCATTTTACCCACCTTAGAAGGAGGGAAGGCTGAGTCAACCTGGAGCTGGTCAGGATCAAACTGCTGGAAGTCAGCAGAATTAAACTGCATTCTAATGGACAGAGTATGAGGCGAGAGAATGAATGACTGTTCAAAGGAAATCCTTTAAGACCAAGGGTTGGTTTCCACCGCAGACATTTTTAGATTGATGAGCTGTTTTGAGATGAATCAACATTTTGAATCATTA